TTACTGTGTTCATCCACTGGGTGGATGGCCAGATGAAAACAGGTACCTCATATACTACTCTGGATGCAACAAGGCGAGACTTTCGTTGGATTTCTTCAAGCTTCGTAAGTAATCTACTCTTACTGTCATACATAAAATGCGGCCACAAAACTGCAAACATTTATGTTAATACACTGTACTACGGCCGTCTTTACGTAAAAGGCAAATATTTAGAACTTCGGTTCACTTTATTGGAGGGAATGAGGAATCATGCAAAAGCTTTGAAGAAAATTGTATTTCAAAGGGCTTAAAAGTTGACCAAAATCTTTTCTAAACTACGGTGTCAGATAAGGAACCAATGGAACGAATTACCAACAAATCCCCCCCGGGAAACAAAAGTAATGCAATGAACGAAAATATGGACAAACGAGCAAACTAGAGTAAAGAACAGACGAACAAACCTACAAATATTGAATTGGGCAATCGAACTGATGTACTTTTCTTTTCTTTCAGCACTACCGCCATAAAGAAAAAAAACGGTTCCTCGCATACCATTCATTGTATAACTATYATAGTATAAATTAGTGCAGATTGGGGATTAATCTGACAAACTGGATTCAATAAATTAAGCTGCATCTAAGAATGTCTCTGGTTTGAAGTTTTATGCTCTATTTGGAAGTCTTAGTAGTTCAAAAAACTCGTAGATCGTGTTTTATCAGGTATAAAAGCAGTCGGCTACGCCTCGTGCTGTTATACCTGATAAAACACTCCTACTCGTTTTTTAAACACTACTTAATATACACATTATTATTATTAACCATTGACCCCTTGCAACAACTCCTGTTGGGCGTGATTCGGTGGGCAGAGCAATAAACACTACCTTATGGCCAGTTCGTTGCTTGCCCTCCTGGTTGCGCTGCTTTGGTGCTAATGCAACGGAAACGCAAATAGACATGTGAAAACTTCAAGGCAATCCATTCAATGTTAATGTTCCTCCAGCGCGATGTCTTATATGCTTAAAATTTTGGATTGAATTTTCAAGACGGCGTCATAACTTTTTTTCTGCCCAAAACTTTTCATCCAAATTTATGCACAGGCTGCAATAGTACTAGATGATAAGATTCTGAAAATTTCAGGAAAAATCGTACCTTAGGATGAGGAGAAAAAAGCCAAAAACTAAAAATAGCGCTGTTTGATTTTTGGACGTAATAAGCTAAACATCTAAAAAATCTTGAAATAAAATACACAGTTAGAATCTAGGATAATCCAAGTACATTATATGAAAAATATAGTTAAATTAACGTAATAGTTTTGCGAAGGGAGGGGGAATAAAATTGTCCAAAATTCGCTCTGAATTAGTTTGGTTCCACCTTAAACTTATCTATATGAGTAGCCAAGCATCATATTTTCTTCACAGTAAAAAGTGGGGGTAAAAATGAACAATTTTATTCATGGCTAAATTGTGAGTAAATTACGTCATTTACTCAACCCTATTGTTCTTTTCGTTTTTGAATCAAAATTTCTCATCTTCAAGTGGCTYCCAGGCTAAAATTTTCACTAATCATGTTTACATAGTTATAATTGAGTCATATTATCCTCAAATACTTTGATCATTTGGACTTTCAAAAATTGGGGCGTTTTCTTCCAAGTGCCTCTTTAAATGCGAGCCATCTATTGCACCGCATGATAAAAACATCAAAAAATCTTACTTGCGCTTTATTAAAAAAGAGTCGTTGTCACAGCGACGATGACCCTTTTTTAATAAAGTGCAAATAAACATTTTTCAGAGGTGTTTTTTATCGTGAAGGTAGTGAAAGTCAAATAAAAAAATATATTATCTGTAATACCTACTATGACAACTATAATTTTTTCCAAGATTATCTCAAAAAAGGTCGTCATTGTTCGCACTTGTTAGTCGCTATATTATTTAAACATGAAGTCATAATTAAGAATTGCGTAATTAAGAATTGTAACAGGAAAACAATTGGGTACCACGAAATCTAAATTTGCTTTTGAAAAAAAAAAAGAAATTTGCCGCACGACACGGAACACCTATCGAAATCATACAAGTGTCTCTGTACTGTAATGTTAACACTCTGGGAGCTGTAGTAGATCACTCGAAAAGCGAGCAAGAGAAGCACTYGCTCCGCTACGCCTATAGTGCTCCTTTGCTTGCTTCCTTCGTGCTCTACAGCTCCCAGCGTGTTTATATCAACGTACAGAGACATTCTCGCCCTTTTATATTCATTTAAAAAAAGACAGGGAATATTCTTCATAACAGTTAAATAATAAACAGTTCAATGTTTTTGAGACACGCATTTTTTGAACGAGAGAGGCTTTGATGTTTTCCTTTGTGAATAGAACTTTATTTTTATCAAATAAAGTGCAAATAAGAATATCATCAATAAAATCTACTATGAAAACTTTAATTCTTCTTCATGATAGGTGTAAGTCATAATTTAGAATTGCGTGTTTTAATTGAATCAAGAAAACAATTTGTTCATCAAGAAATCTAAATTTGCTTTCGAAAATAAAGAAACCAAATTTGCCTGCACGACATGTCTCGCGGCTGTGTTCTGTACACTGTGGAGACGATCAATGAGATAAGATGGAAGGCCAAAACTTTAGACTTTAGACTTTAGATTTTAGACTTTAGACTTTAGACTTTAGACTTTAGGCTCGAAATTTGAAAAAATATTTATAATTTATTTTTTATTTTTTATTTTTATCAATTCTGCAATAGGTGTAAGTCATAATTTAGAATTGCGTGTTTTATTTGAATCAAGAAAACAATTTGTTCATCAAGAAATCTAAATTTGCTTTTGAAAATAAGGAAACCAAATTTGCCTGCACGACATGTAACACCCCTCGAAATGTATAAAAGATTGGTGGACCACTTGTATTGTATTAAATGTGTAACACTATTATGTAAATAGTTTATTCATTTAGTTTTATTGAGTGACACGAGAAAGAAAGGCCTAATTAAAATAAATCCCTAACTCCTTGAAAATCCTATCGTCAGACAAAACCTACACTGCAATATAAAACACTTACTTATGTTAATGAGAATTGAAAATCACGGAAACTTAAAACTACACTAAACTTGAAAAGTATAGCGATTTTGAAACTCAACATTCTTTTCCAGCGGATTTTTTACATTTCAATGAAAGTTTTCACTTTAAGTGACATGAAAATGTTGGGGTTTTTTCYATCGCGATTGCTACATTGTTTGAGTCCAACAAAACGAACATTAAGGATCCTTAGGCTACACTAACATATCCCTAGAAACAAGGTTAAAATAGCATAGTCCTAATGAATACCTTATTTTCTTTAAAAGACGCAAAAGTAAACAAAATTGATACTCCATTTAAATTGTTTTGAAAAGGCTTATAAAAAGGGCTGTTATAACGCTGTACGCCTCATACAGCATACCCAAACAGTAACCAGAAAGAAGGTAAGCTAGCTATGTTAGCACGCTCTTGCTTTAACGCTACTAAACGTTTGTTAAAATGAGTCACTTTGTAAAACTTTTACTAAAATTTTCAGATCGATGAAGATGAGGTCTCCTTTCCTCGCCTTCCTTYCTTTCTTGTTGTTTGTGGAGATTCAAGGTAACCTGTTACATTAACCTAACTCACACGCCCTTTTTCTAAAACTCTCACCTCCCTAGTATACCTCCTGGAAGTCCACAAAATGTTATAAACACGAGGCACTAATAATTCTAGAGTCAAAAACTCCATAAAAAACAATTAAGAGAGTCATTTATTTATATCAGTATTTTAATTGGTCTTTTTTTCTGGCCTTTGATAGCAATAAGACACAAAGAACTACGAATTACTTATCCTAAGCGTTTGGATCGTCATCGYAGCAAAAGAGATCTAAAAACAGCTATCGAAGTAAGCAGCTCTTTAGGATATAATATACTTAATGATAAGGACGAAAGGAGTTACAGCTCACTGACTACTCTAAAACATACACACCCAAATACGTCCGAATACAACATCCTTTATTTTCTCCACTTCCTTTTTTCTCAATCTTATGTTATGCTTGTCTTAAAACCATTAACGCTAACACTGAAATTCTTCATTCTTAATATCAAGTTTTTAAAGTTCGTTTTCTTTTTGTCCTTTATTCTTTATTTTACAATTACTAAAGAATATACTACATATATGTTTAAAGTTTCTCTATTACCATTACAATACTATTATACTTCTCAAAGTTATTTCAGCCTTGTAGATATACAAATATGTTTTAATATCGGTGACAAACATTACTCAAGAATTCAAAGTAAAAGAAGAAGAAAGAGAGAAAACTACAAGGACAGAAAAAAAGAGAGAAGATAAAAGACCGTTTCCTAATCCAATGATTCTTTTTTTCAACAAAATGTTTTCCTTTGCTAGCTCCTTTGTTTCGATTTAGTCGGCAAGCTTAATGCTTGGTTAATTAAGGGAATTTCTAAACGAAACAAATTAATTACTTTTAATATATTAAAATAAAAAGTAAATTATTAGAGTTAGTTTATATTATTAACTCCTGTTCTAGAGTTACTTTTCTTAATAAAAAAAAAAATTTTTTTATCATAATCGAGTTTTTCCATGCAAGCCTGTTCTTTCTCCTTCAGTCCATTCTTCGATGCAAGGTTATTCTCAAGAGAATGACACGTGGTCTAAAATGATAAAACATTACGCCCAAGCTAAAGAGGTCTACTCATAAATGGTCTTCACCATTTTTAGTACCCCCCTCACTCCGCTCGAAATCGCCATATTTGCCATTCATTAATTTTTGCCGTACTAACATTTTTAGCTGTCTATGTGTTTGTTTCCAGGGTGATCATGAAGCTTCGGCAAGTTTCAACGTTAACAATTGGGTTCTAGACACTAAACGTAACAAGTGAGTTGAGACGACGATTTTTTGTCTGATTAGATGGGCAATATTTCGTGTAAATGATCGGAAAATCTTGTAGGTTTAGTTTTATAATGATGATGATAGTCTAGGTGGAGYATGCATTCATATATTCTATTTAATATACGTGTTACAAATATGCAATACAATATGCAATACAAAATGTTTCTCGATTCATTTTAGTGAATTGGCTCCAAAAACGGTGACGGTTCGTAGGTTTCTGGCTGACAACTCCGAGGTACTTCACGCGGTAAGTGATATTCATAGATAACTATGAAAAATTGCTTAGAACAGGTCTTGAAAACACAGCATTTATCAGATTAGAACCGACATCATCACTTGATGATGGTCATATTCTTCGTCCATGCACGTCATGACGTAGTATGAGCTTTCAATTCAATGGCGTAGCAAATGAGGGGCCCAAAAAGTATAGGTGGAAAATGATACATTGTCTCCCCGTATGACCGAGAAATTGCTTCACCCCTGCTTTAATTGTACTCAAAATCGTATGAATTATTTATGAGTCGTTTTTGAAATTGATAGAATTGCAGATATATTTAGTCTCCTCGTTTCCTTCCTAAACCTTATATTAAACAGCTAATCAAATGCCGTTGATTTCTTGAAAATTTTCTTGATATTCTATAGGTCTCACCGGATAACTGTCACTACCAAGGATCTATTCATGGCGTCCCTGATTCTACTGTCGTTTTAAACACCTGTAATGGCCTTAGGTGAGCAAATAATTTTTAAAGCACTAGACGGCGTGGGAAGTAGTCTAACCAATTGAAACCATATTTTGCATGAAGCTAACTTAACATTGTAGCTTTAATATGTACTATTTGTTTTTTTTATCAACTATTTTATTCAACATTTCATGCTTTAAATCTTGTAATTTTTATGTCGATGTATACATATTAAATCCCGAAACAAATATAGTTATGTTTACTTGAGATTTTTTCCCGTAAAAGTTGGGGTGTATTGCATATCAGTGGCCGATTCATTATCAAACTGACTCGCTCAATGACCATAGCTATAGTCATCTCCCTCTAAAATAATATTAACTATGCTCAGAATAAGACACAACCTTGACCTACTTACCGTTAGCTAGGGCTTTATACAATTCATGTCTTCGTAACTCTCTTTCATATTTGTGGTAAATTTGATGCATCGCGTTAAAAGAACACTCGATATATTTCTGAACAGAACAGACCATGGAATAAACTACCGCAAAGTTAATTATCATTTTAGAGAAATTTCAAAACCTCAAGATTCGCCTTAACGCTAATAATCATTTAATTTCATGGCACAAGCATACAATTTTAAGCGTTCCTCAGATGCTCGCTACACCTTTCAGCGTTCCAGATCTTCAATTTAGTATTTCTTAGGGTGTCACAAATCTAAAAGGACTACCCAGACAGTCAGTAGGGGACTTTTGAGGCAATCAGATACCTGGATTATATAATGATAGTCAGAATTGGCAGTTGTATGACTCAGAATATTTATTTTCTGTAGAAATAGGTACCTTTCAGGGATAAAAGTCATCAGTTGCCACGCCCAACTGGACAGGACTCTGGTACGTTTTAGAGGTCTTTTTTAAAAATGTCCGACGAACATACCCGCCCTTTTACATATCAGAGTCCCCCAACAACTCCCTGGTACATAGCCTAAGGTTAGAGGGTTAATACACTCATGTATGCAACAGTTTGCAATATTCAGTATTGCTTGGTTCTGGTTAGGTAACACAAATTTAGTGTCTGTACAGCTAAATTTGTAATAATATCCCTTACTGAATGCATCAATCAGTAGTTAGATATGAAGCTTTTGCTCTTTCTGGCTTCTTTGCAACTTGAAGTCCAAGACTCTCGCTCATGACTTTTAACATTCCAAGTTTAACAATTAATATAACTTTTAACCCACAATGCTCCACGCGCCTTGACCACTCTCCTCTGGGAAAAGAGTCCTTAGTATCAAGCTGTGAAGCCTGAAACTAGTAAAAACTGGTTGAAACTTTGAATTAATAAAGAGCTTAAGAGTTAGATAGTCGCATTTCGGCATTTTTACCGCCTCTAAATAAAATTCGTTCGCGGGTTGGCGTTTTATTTATAGAAACTCCGATTTGGCCTAAAGACACTAGAAGGGATGTTCTTTAATGTGATGTAGATCACTTTTTGATTTGTTAGGTAGCAAGAGAGATATTGGTGTCTAAATTTCGTCTAAAATTTGATCGTCAATTGATCACAAAATAAAGAGGGTTTTGTGAGGCTAAATATCAGTGAAAATATAATAGTTGATACAAAAAACAAATAGTACATATTAAAGATACAATGTTAAGTTAGCTTCATGCGAAATATGGTTTCAATTGGTTACTTCCCACACCGTCTAGTGCTTATTGAAGTTGGCTTTCGATTCGTTCATATTAATTAGGAAAAATCGATAATTTAATTTATTTTTCAAACTTTCGGAAATTTCACAAAAACAAAATTGCGTTTGGACTTTTTGATCGTGTTTTCTGAAATACCTATCTATAAAGGTCCTTTTGGTGAAATAAAATCAACTTTGTTTTTTCGCAATTGTCTTGGGTTTCTCGACCGTTACAGACATACGCTCTCAAGGATTATTTCCTTGTAGGTTTTTGAAACAAAATACTTTCCAAATCAAAAGGTGGGAAACACGGATGGCTTAGCGGTGAGAGTGCTCGCCTCTTACCAATGCAACCGGAGTTTGAGTTCAGCCGAGTTCAGTTTCGAATTCGTATGTGAGCCGGTAGAGTTGTTTCAGTGTTGGTTCTCTCCTGTGCTTCTATGGGTTTCTTCGGGTTCCGTCCGATTTTCCTTACTCTTCAAAAATCAACTGGTCCACAGGTTTGTTAACCACTGGCTGTTATTGCTACCCTCGTAAGAAACGGGACGGTTACATTTAACTTCGTTTAATTTCTCTACTTCAAAAATATATTCTAAGTGTTTTTTCTTTTTTAATTTGCAGAGGAATCATTGATGATGGAAAGGACACTTTTCATATCGAACCTCATGACAACCAGAAGGTAAAATGATAACAAAGAAATTAATAATTCATGAGGAAAAAACAATATAAATCATGACCGTGAAGAGTTTTATAATTTTGATACAGAATCATTTTCATTTGCATAAACTTTAACTTTTCTTCTTGGGCAGACTCACGTTTATCTTGAAAACGTTAGTGAAACACAAAGGAACTAACCTAGACGTTTGTTAAGCAATATACGATATTCGTGTCCGTGTTGTATTGATGGTTTTCAACCATTCCCAAGAGAATTAGATAACAAAAGACACGGCGGCCATGTTGGAGGATATAACAAAAGAATTCATTGACAATTCTTTTGTTAAGTTCCTCCAACATGGCCGCCGTGAAAACCATCAATCAATGCGATATACAAACTCTCGGCTACGCCTCCAGTATACACCTATTTCGAAGATCGTCGTCGCACCAAGAGCCTCAAGTAACAAGCCAAGGCMGCAGAGAACGTCGGTACTTTTAATTAAAATTGATTTATTCCTGCAAGTGGCTATAGCTCTACACTAATTATCATCTCAAGCAGCCTTGCTTGGAGCAATTTGTGAAGTCAATAAATGAAAATGCAGCATGAATGAACTAATTACAGCTAAAAGTACTGGCGTTGTCTGCGGTCTTGGCTTGTCGCTTGAGGCTTTTGGTGCGACAACGATTCCTGAAAGAGGTGTATATATCGTATACAACACGGCCATTCATACTGTATGTATTTCCTTTCATGTTTATTCGACATTGGCCTATTTGCCGAAAAATTTAAATTACAGTTCTATGGATCAGCCCTCTCGGCTAGTTTTTTCTCCGTCTTTCAAACTTTATATATTATCTTTATTTTGAAAGCTTAAATTTTTGTAGTGGAAAAATGAAAACCTTTGAAATTGAGGAAATAAAAAACGCACGCGCGTGCTGTGTGCAGTCATAAAGAACGTGGGGGTTGGCAGAACACGAGAGAAGTGTTAGGAGACTTCTCGAGTGTTCTGCCAATCCCCAAGTCCTTTATAACTCCACTCATCACAGCAAACATTTACAACCGTACAACCGTTGAACAAAGAAATAATATTAAAGGGAGTGATACGTGGCCTGAAATTGGAAAACAGTGGATTAGGTCAATGACCTATATTGATTATTTATTCTATTCCAGAATACCGGAGCACACAAGCTCTATCTTGCAAATAACGACAAAGAGTTTGATGCAGCAAAGAACTGTGGTAAGTTTTTACGATTTATATTTTAATGATAATATTTGGTTATTTTGTTTTTCAATAATATTATAGCACTAACTAATTAGTACTGGTTCATGGGTTTATTGTGTTCAGCGAGAGAATATTCTCTGGTGTTCTGTTAGCTCGATCTGTTTTTAGCTCTTATTTCAGTGGTCTTTTCTTATAGGGACGCATTCTGAAGACCATTTCCATAAAGGATCCGACGACGAATCTAAACTTAGCGCAACAATCAAACGCGTAAGTCAACAAAATTCATATTTTCCAGTTTTGTGCAAACTAAAGAAAGAACATTCTCTGACAGCTCACACGAAACTTCATCGCAAATCTAGAAGTATATGATTTTTCTTTAAAATTCAAGATAATTGATATGCTTTCTTGATTACGTATAATACTTATTCCGTTTTTCTGTATTTTAAATAAAGTTAAGACACTCAGTTGTGGATATTGAGGAGAAATATCGGTCTTACCTTACAACCGACGATACACGATACAACGAGGTTCTTTTTGTCGTGGACAATGAAATCGTAAGTACCAAGTGCTATAAAGATAACATATATTTAGGCACTGCCTAAAAGCGGAGCTCCCGATACGGAAGTCACCGGGAGAACAATTTGAATGAAACTGAAAGGTAAAAATAAGATCGGGGAAAAAATCGTCAATTATTTTTTATTCGAGATGAAGATAATTTGTCCCATAATAAAACCCATGCAGTGTAATCGAATCGAAATGTACTACATTGTTTTCTGTGCGCGAGTTTTGCGCGAGTATACTATCCCACATAGGGAATTTTGTACACAACTCACCACCATCCCCAGGGGCTAGTTTTGTTCTTTGAAGATTCTTCGACAAAGTTTTCCAAGGCMGACAGTTTTAGGCTTTCAATCTCTTTTACTTAAAAAGACGAAAAATAACTACAGATAATCCAATACAATGTTAAGTTTAGTGAAATTTACCTCGGATGTCTTTCATTGAAATCGAAAATCTGTAGATTTAGGGCAAATCAAGACCAAAAATCAGACTTGAAAACTGGTTAAGGTGAGCAGAAAATAAGCTTACTTTAATTACGTCTTTTACAGAACGAGACGAAGTTTACATTCAGTTAAACTTGACAAGAACAACTGAGACAAAATAGAAAATAATGCAAAAGGCAATGCAAAATACAAAATGATGAATTTCTTGTCAGTAAATTGGCGTTTGTAAATGTTTTTGAATATTTTTTAGCTTTTTTAAAACTGAAAGTCTAGGTCTATAAAATAACATCTCTTAACATCACAAATTTAAGCTAATTTTTATAATCATACTTGCTCGAACAGCTTAATAAACAGTTGAATATTTGGTGTAAATTTATATTTCATTCAATAATTAAATAAATTATCTGTAGAAGAATATAAAATTACTCAATGAAAGTCTTTTTTTTTTTTTCTTCTTCTTGTTTTTGGTCTATAATTTGTCCTAAATCGATTGTTTTCTGTGCATTTGAGAGCCGCATTTGTGAATAGTTTTGCTTTGACATCAAACGGGATCCCTGTGTTGTGTACACGGACGTACGTATGTACGGACGGACGGACGGACGGACGGACGGATGTGACGTCAGCCAAGCCATGAAAAATCACCTCGATGGTTTACCATTTTTTCTTAAGTATGGTGCTCCGCGAGCTTTTAGTCTTCTCTTAACATGACGGTGAAGTTACAACCCCTTTTGTTGATTTAAACTTAACTTTCGTACCCAGAAGTCTGAATGATAATTTAATGATGAGGATAATGATAATAGTTATGATGATAATAATGATGATGATGATGATGATAATGGTGATGGTGATAATCATGACGATGATGGCAATGGTGATGCTGATGCTGATGATAATGAGAACGACAGTGATGATGATGAGATGATGATGATGATGAGAACGACAATGATAATGAGAACGACGACGTCGATGATGATGATGATGATAGTAAAGGTGGAAAATGATAGCATCGGTGAAGAAAATGATATTATATTATTAATGTTTTCTTTTTTCGTGATTTTAGTATCAAGGGTATCAAAACGACACAAAAACCGTGATTGATAAAGTTCTCACTCTTTGCAACGCAGTTGACGCAGTGAGTAAACCTACAATTTATAGAATCCTAAAAGCAATTCCGCCGGAAAGTTCCAAATTAGAACCGCATGGATAATATACTACAAGGGGTTTGTATTGGTCAAACGCATCAACATTATCAGTTGTCTGGAAATATATTTAAGTTAAAGCGGTACAAAGTTGCAAGCAAAAATCTAAATCTAAATCTATTAAGCTTTCCTGTTGTTTCACGGCGTGGGACAATCACAACAGAGGTAAGCTGCAACTAGGTGAAACCCGAAAGATCGAATTCGAATCTAGAAATTGTTTTTTGAGGAGGGCGAAAAACCGTAGAACCCGGAGAAAGACCTTGAAGCACAGGAGAAACTAACGAATAACCGGCCTACTCACATAAAACACCGAGAACGCCGGGCAGTTTTATAGTTTGCTTGGGATGTTTCTGTTGCAGATTTACCAACGCATCAATGTCAGGATTGTCATAACAGCCATCGAAATTTGGACCAATGGTGATCGCATTGAACGTCGAACATCTGGCGGTGCAGAATTAGGAACGTTTCAAGCTTATCGACAAAAAGAGCTAATTGGTAAAATACCTCATGACAATGGGCAATTTCTTAGTAATCATGGATGGGGTAGAGTTATTGGAATGGCATATGTCGGAACAATGTGTAAGAGATTATCATCTGCTATTAACAAAGTAAGTATCTATATATATATGACCTTTAGCAAGACGTTCTTGCTAGGTACTGAAACCTCAAACTGCAGTTCGACGTCAGGCGTTTTCCTTCAAACCGTCATTTAGCAAACCGTCTTAACGAAGTTATTGCTGGAAGAGCCGCCATATTGAATTTCATTAATGCTGACGAGGCTAGCACTTCACATAGTCAGTAGCTGTCAAACCTGTGGCCCTCATTTCAAGATAGAATTGGAATTTAGTTAAAAGCTGATTATTGGAAATGAAGGAAAAAATGTAAAAACCTTCGAAGCATAATGAACCAACCAACAACTCTAGTAGATGGCGGGAAGTCCGTGGATCGAACCATGACCACAGCTCTGTGTCCTTAACTGATATCCTGGATATGAAGCTTTTTCAAAATACGTTGTCATCGCCAAAGGCGATAGGGGATACGTTATTCCGAGACGGAAATAATGTCGTCGACTACAGACGACAGACGACAGAATCAGTCTCAACACTAAGGTCCATGTTCTTGACGAGAATAAGAAACAAAAACACAAGTCATTCCAGCTATTCTTGGATCTTGTAATGACCTATCTTTTATTGTGTTTCGCCTATTGCATATCATCTTTGGCGATGACAACGTCTTTTGAAATACGTGCGTTGTATAAGAATAAAAAATGCATTATGCATTAAACGTCTGAATAGGTTCGGGTCCTTTAATTAGACTGCCTAGTGTAACATATTTTGAATCAAGTTCTTTCTTTTGTAACTTTGTCGTTTTTTATTCAAATTACTCCAGTGGTCTTTTGGAAGCGTTATTGGGCCATACGTCACTCTGGCTCATGAAATGGGTCACAACTTCGGATACGGTCATGATTCAGGTTTGTTAAGTTAAGCTAAATCTAAGTCCTACAGGATGTTTTCGTTATTTGAAATTGTTTTGTAAACAAGTAAAGAATGTCGCTTTTTTGCTGTCGATATTTCTTGTTGTTGCAAAGATATTTAAAATGCAAATTCAAAATGAAGACGAGGGACCATTACAGTGAGGAACGGTAAACACCTATTTTCCAGGTTATTCATCAGTTCAAATTCTCCAAAATGAAGAATTGAGTTCAAATACACCAAGTGATCAAAATAAACCTTATTTCCAATCAATGGACTACTTCGATGATACGACGACCATCAGGGGGCAAAACAAAACCAACATGACGGAAAATATACAGAGTTTCGTGTGTTTGTCTTTCTTTTATGGGTGAAGGTAATCGATGTGCCGTCTTAAATCACCTTTCGTTGTATTCTCTTGTGGTGAGCTGTTATTATCAATCGACTTACTGTAACAAAACTTTATTTACCTCTATACGCCCCATAATACTTTGCGATCCAAGATGGCCGTCGAAGTTGTCCATTGACTCAAGGGAAGATTAAAAGTACGCATTTTCAAAAAGTGGCAAAATTGTTCTCACGGTTCGAGTGTCCTCRTTGTAAAAAGTTCAATTCATAAAATGAAAATAATAATTCTCAGAATTTTTCTAAATATCGTGAATTGTACTTTGGAACTTCATCTATGCAATTATTGATTTTGAAGTTAAATTCTTATACCTTAGAATATTGCAAATGCCTAACACCAAAAGGATGCTTCATGGGTGGACATAAGTAAGTATTATAAAATACGAATATAAAACCACAATAGCAATTCTTTACTTTATGTTTTTTTCCATTTCAGACCATGTGTCATTCCCTACAGTATCATTTCTTTGTTTAATGATTGCAGATAAAAGGATACATGAATACAACTCAAACAAAGAATATTATTCTTAATGGGATGACACGTGGTCTGAAATGGGAAAAATATTACATCCAAAGTAAAGAGGTCTATTCGGCTACAAACATGTCAAAAAATCTTAGAGTTTTCCCAATAAATAAAGACGTACATTGTATAACAAATTCGAGACTTTTATCGCCATCAACAACATCATTTAACAACATCATCTATTTTTTAAACTGATTTTTATCAAACATTTGTTTACAGGACCCGCGTTCCTGGTTTTTCCAATTGTAGTCTGGAATCTATGAAACGAATCAATGACCAATGTCTGTATAACAAACCAATGGTAAGTTACAGTCATTGGCAAGGAATAGTCCCTTTTCTCATTCGGTAAATACTGCTGTGTTTGAAGACTAAAGACTCATCTGCCCGGCTTAGCCTCTCTTAAGAGCAATTTATTTGCAAAAGTCAACTGTAATGCAAAGAATGTGCAGCTTAAACAATTCCAATGTTTTGAAATTCCACGGACTTTTAATGGTATCTGTGAATAGCTGAATGACTTATGAACCCTCGAGGCTAAGGCTGTGCAGATGAGTCTGTGGTCTTCAAAAACAGCGATATGCATCGAATGCGAAACCGGTCTATTCAAAGACACTACTCAGATATATTAAAGATAATATTTTGACGAACCTATAAAATATTAATTAAAATTCTAAATAATGCTATTTCAAATCTCTCACTAACCTTTGAATGGAAATAAGGGCAAGATAGCCTGGAATTAGTAATAAACGTCGGAACTGCTAGGCCAATTAAAAGACGGCTTTTTTACTCAGGTAGTTTTGGTAGAGGAGCAAGAAACGACATCCAAACAGCCTGCAACATTAAAACAGAACTGACTAATTATGCTCACCAGTGGCCTCTTGCATATGCACATGCGCAATAGTGAGACTGCTGATGATACCAGGATTTGTTCTTATTTTTCAAGGTGCTGCGCCCTCAGTGCGGTAATGGAATACAAGAAGGGGATGAAGAGTGTGATTGTGGAACTCCAGAGGTATCAAATAAGAGGGGTTTTTTACAATAATTAAGAGGTTTTTCTCATGTACTTCTCATACTTAAAATGTTTTCATGACAAACGAAATTGAAAATATCACAGTTGCTACAGTGGACCTAAAGTGCTTTTATTTGGCTCAGGAAGAAACGAATAAAATAATATATCATATTTTCATCATTTCAGATGTGCAAAATAAAAGATCCCTGCTGTCAGCCACATGCATGTAAACTGAAGCCCTCGGCTGTTTGCAGTGACTTACATCATTTTTGCTGCAAGGATTGCCAGGTAATGCACCATATCCCCCCATATAAACAATAACTACTTTTAAAGTCAAGCAATTTTTTCCGGGTGGTAAAGTGGTAAATAAGAGGATATAGCACGTGAAATGTGTCGGCCCTGTGCATTGCGTAATCTATTTCATGTTAACCTTTCGTTATTTTAAATGTTTATAAAGTACAAAAGACAAGGAACTCTTTGTAGACCTGCCGAAACAGACTGTGATGTACCCGAGTACTGTCCAGGAAATGCCAGAGATGTGAGTACGCATGCCTATATTGCTGATCAAAAGTTGGTGTTTGTTTGTAACGATGCTACTGAGACCAGAATGCGTAGTGTATAAGGCCTATGTAATAAAAAGGATCCTGAAAGATCAATCGCACAAGAGCTTTTTTATGCTTTGAATTTAACTATTAAAATGAAAAATATTATTCGTCGTGGAAATTGTAATAAATAATACTTATTAATACTTTGTTTTTCTGCCAATGGGTATTTAAAACATACAAAATTTTGCTACATCAGTACTAAAACTAAATCCCTGATTTTGCATTTCAGTGCCCCGCCAACAACTACATTCAAAATGGAACACCATGTAATTAAACCCAAAAGGTTGGTATAATATACGCCTTGCACAAAAAGATAAGACTTTCAAAAAGCTTATGGTATCAATAGTGTCCTACACAGTTCCCTGCGCCATCTTGAAAGGTCACCGTATCTGTGCATTGAAGCGAGAGCGGCGGTGACCTAGCAATGATAGAGGCATGTGAATTATTGCCCAAGTTGTTAAAMAAGGTCTCTATCATTGCAAGATCACCGTTCGTCTCGCTTCGAAGCACARGTACGGTTGTCTTTCAAGATGGCGCTGGGAACTGTTAAGGGGACTATTAGAATGACTGTAACGGAGGCCGCCTGATAGCCAGACACTCAAAAAGCATTTAGTTTTAATAATAAATCAATATTGTTATCAACGTTTTCTTCAGTTGTTTGTAGGTAACTCAAGCAGCAGTAAGGGGGACTCGCGATCGAGGTCGTATATTCACGGGTTTTACCCGCGTTATTCCGAACGCGTCCGAGTCGGGTTTTACCCGCGCGACAAGTCCCTTACTGCTGCTGTGTTGGGTACCGCAAACGGAGGTTAAGATATCCTTTACATATAGATGGACGCCATCACGAGCATTAGAAATAAAACTGTGCGCAAACTGAGAACTCAGGTGTTGGATCGC